GATCGAGTTAACGAGATATTTGGGTTCGCAACCTTCGGTCTCCAGTTGGCGAATCTTGTGGGTCTGGGGCTTAACAACTATTCTTGCCGTCTCTTGGGCAAGGGCAAACGACACAGTTTCGGAAAATGATGCTTTTGGTGACGCATATGTTGCATACTTAATCTCAGGGTCACGTATGCCATTCACAAAGGTTTCGATTTTCATACGGTCCAGCAATGGGTGATCCTCTCCTGGATACGTCATTAGCACCAAACGTTCCACCTCAGCTGCAAAGTCTTGTAACGTCTCGTTTGCCCTCTGTACTCTTCCCCTTAATTCCATAAGGTAGATGTTTCGTTTATGTTCGCCACCGTACTTACGTTCCAGTGCAGCAATAACATCTTCATAGTTGTTTCTAGAAGCGACAGGAATACTCTGTATAACATCAGCAGCACTGCCCTTCAATGCCAGAAGTAGTGCAACCGCTTTGTCGCTGTCGTTCCACGAATTTCTAGAAGCCACTGTCTCGAACTGTAACTTGAAAACATTGAATGACGTAGAGCCGTCGAATACAGGAGGTTTGATTTTTAGTGTGTTATCAGGAACTCGCACCGGACCACCTTTGATTTCCAGTTCCGAAATTTTCTTCTCCAGATTTGTAACCCTATGGTCGTGGGACAGAAATTTCTCGTCAACCGACTGCACTTTCTTATCCAACTCTTTAATTTGGACCTCCACGGTTTCCACTCTCCTTCCAATAACTTCTGTAATGTACTCGAGTTTCTCGTTCGTTATTCTCGAATTTTCTTCGAACCTTCTGAAATTTTCCTCAAACATTTTGGCTAGCATATCTCTGAAATCGTCACCCCTGGCAGCTACTGACGAGACTTCCCCACCGTTGGATTCGCCCATTTCCGATAAATCCACTTCATCCTTACTGTCAAACTCATATGTATCGATGTTCATACCACGGCGCTCGAACTCATCCAACAGACGTTTTTGTAGTTCAGCCTTGTTGCCAGTAGAGGACAATTCCAATTTATTAAGTTCCTTCTTCAAGTCTTCCACTCGTAGATCCTTAAACTTCATCGTAGTATTATCGTAATCTCACTTCCGACACCAATTGTTACGTTCTTGGATTTTACTTAATCCCGTGTAGACGTTGTTTTATTTCCCAGTACAGCTCGTACCAAATAAAACGCGGGTTCTTTCGGATTACGATTATTACAATGATTTTATTCACACAACTTTACTTTGCACTTTACTTTACTCGACGGTTTCAATTCGCGATCTGATTCACAACTGAACTAACTGCCTTTCCATTTCCCCTATTTATATGAGCCTCGCCTGTCGCTACAGAAGTTTCTAGACGATCTGGTAACGCCTAGATTACGAACAATCTACCAATGCAACGAACACATACAAACTTACATTGAGTGAACAATAACAACAACACATACAAACTTACATTGAGTGAACAATAACAACAACACATACACAGGCGAGGGGGTAACAAAGAAAGAGGAATTAAGCGATCATCAATGATGACGTTTAACAAGAATTGTACGTCAGCAACAAAATAGAAAATGAAAGAGGAAATGGAAGGATGTAGAAAAATCTATACAGTAGTTGTTGTTGTGAAGTTATTCAAATAAACTGCGTAGTAGAAATTTACGTTACAATTCAAATTCTTAAATTAACGGAATTCATCTAAATTAACTTAAATCTAAAGTTATATTCGTAACAATACCATTTAAATGATGACCTTTACATGGGGGCTATACGAAGATGTGGACCTGCATAAGTAATTTTTTGTCATAGGCTGTAGTACCCATTATGATCTTCAAATATGAAATTTGAAACAATCCCGGTGAATAATGTCGCTGAAATCATCAAAATACCGAATATAGGTAGGTACCGTTATATGGGGGCTATACGAAGACTTGGACCTGCAAAGACAATTTTTTGTTATAGACTGTGGAACCTATTAGGAACTTTAAGTACAAAATTTGAAACAATTCAGTTGAATAATGTCGCAAAAATCATTAAAACTCGGAATGTAGGAAGGTAACGATATATAGGGGCTATACGTAGACTGTAGAACCCATTAGGAACTTCAAATGAGCAATTTTAAACAATTCCAGTGAATAATGTCGCTGAACTCATCAAAATACCGAAAATAGAGAGGTACCATTATATGGGGTCCATAGGAAGGTGTAAACCTCAATAAGCAATTTTCTGCCATAGGCTGCGGTAGCAATTAGAATCTTCAAATACGAATGTTTAAACAATTCCGATGAATAATGTCGCTGAAATCATCAAAGTACGGAATGTCGGAAGGTACCAATATATATGTGGGGGCTATACGAAGACCTGGACCAGCAAGTATAATTTCCTATTATATACTATAGCGCTTGTTACGAACTTTAAATACCAAAGTTTTTAACAATTCCGGTGAATAATGTCGCTAAAATCATCAAAATACCGAATATAAGGAGGTACCATTATATGGGGGCCACACGAAGACCTGGACCTGCAAAGACAATTTTTCATCATAGATTGTAGAACCTATTAGGAACTACAAATACGAAATTTGAAACAATTGCGGTGAATAATGTCACTGAAATCATCAAAATACCCATTATCGGGAGGTACAGTTATATGGGGACTATACCTAAACTTCGACCTATACATCCCATGTTCAATACCAAAAGTCCTGCAGACCAAAGATACATCTGAGTAAAAGTCTATCAACTTATTTCAATTCGTTTGAAAGCTAGAGTGATTTCCACAGACGGATGGACGGACGGACACACAAACATCGCTAAATCGACATAGAATTTTATGCTGATGAAATATACATATTCTTTATGCGTTCTAAAATGTATATTCTGAAAAGTACCTTCATTTGGTTAAATAAATTATGAATTTTGTTCGATTCTTGTTGAAATAATTTGTGTTATCAATGACATTGAGAATATTCATTAAAAAAGACATTTTTTTTTTTATTTGTTTCATTTAGAAGTTTCAAAGTGACTTTGGCAATGTTTAATGTTGTCAAAATGCCAATATGTCGGCAAAAATGGCAACCCTGAACAAGAAATTTTTGTTTGCCTCTCTCTACTGCCATTCTTTGTTGTCATCATGGTAGAAGAATACCAGGTAGTAGTAGCATCAACACAGCTGCTGGGACAATGAACTGTCAAATTAATATTGGAATTGAAATTTTTGAATGAAAAATTATTAAAATGTTTGAAAATTGTTAATAAATACATATCATAGCAACCTCCAATTGGCGTCATATGGGAAAACACATACAAATCTATTTATTTTTGAAGAAACATTTATCATAAATCAAGTTCGTTGATGGGCAATATTTGCTCGTCCTTCTGGTACCTATCCCACAAAAGACCAACATTTTCAAAGAAAATATTTTACTGCACACAAAGAAAAAGGATAATCCAATTTTTGCTCTAACTTTGCAAATCCTAATATTTGCAGCAGTTCTATGTCAGGTGCGAAAATGAATATCGGTCCACTCCATCAAGTACATCATCCACAAAGGGTCAAGATTTTGAATATTCATCAAGCTCATGAAACACGAAATTAATTTTTCGATTCCATTCAGACTTGGCACATCTCAATATTTCCATCAACACAAGATCTGTTGTAAAGATGATTGAGATCGGACTATTTCTGCTGGTACTTCCCCCAGAAAGGGTCAAAGTTTTAAATAACCAAAACGTTTATAAAATCCGAAATAAAAACGGTAGAGATCCGTTCACTCCTTCCGGTACTTCCCCCACAAAGGGTCAAAATTTTGAATATCCAAGAAGCCCATACAACTCGAAATTAATATACGATTCCATTCGGACATGGCACATCTCAATATTTCCATCAACACAAGATCTGTCGTAAAGATGGTAGAGATCGGATAATTTCTGCTGGTACCTCCCCCATATAGGGTTTAAAATTTTGAAAGAAAGGAAACGAAATGAGCCTCCGTCGCTCTTTAAATTTCACACACATAAACTTTTTTGCTAATCGCAGATCTGTTTTGAGAATGATAGATATCTCCCAACCCCTTGCGAAACAAGTCGGCGATTCTTTACAACTTGCTATATCGAAATATATCAGAATTCTGAAATTAATTTATCTTAATTTATAATTTGGCATAAAATCGGATAAAAATGTTCAATTTTCCTGTAATTTTTCCCATAGCAATATTTTTATCTGTATTAGATGAAGTGTGAAAATGGAATACTTCGGTCCGCTATAGCTGTTACCTCACGCATATTTCCATATATTTCAAAAATTTTCTCATATTTCATAAAAAGTATAGGACGTAGATGATATAGTCCAAATATGGAACGAAAGGAGATATTTATATCAGATTTAGGTCAGATACAAATTAGACAATATTGGCCAACTGCCTCGGAACCTCCCCCATAAAGGGTTAACCGTTTGAATAATCATAACTCAAGGCTGGGGGTATACATCTGTCGGTCAAACCGACTGATACTATTTTACTTGTTTTTGTTTTTTAACTTTCTTATATATCTTAAAAAAATCAACCTTTAAACGCGTTGTGATAAATATGTATACCAATCTTTCTTTTCACCCAGAATTTTATAATATCCCTTATTTTTTAGCATAGACGTTGCATTTTTTTTTATTTCATACCTATTAAAATCATGATAATTAAGAAAAGAAAAACAATAATTTTTCTGCACTTGTCGTACGTCCTGTATAAAGTCGCACTTATTTTAATGCAACTCTCTGTGGCAACTAGAAATATGTTTTTAACGAATGTAGGTCAATATATTCGACTGCGCAAAGTCCAAATGCATATCGATAAGATTTCTGGAATACTTGCCACAAAATAGCTGATATTATACAAATCTATAAAAATATTTCCCCAACTCCAAAGACAACTAAAAAGCCTCTGACATTAGTTGTGGCATTGCAACTCTCCCTCTCTCTCACTCACGCACATGCTCACACATAAACACCTTCATGCGTACAAAATTAGTTCGATAATATATTTTGTTTCAACAATACAGTTAGTTATTCCTTATAAAAAAAAAAACAATTAATTGTCAGAGAGTTGAATGATTTCCATTTACAGTGTCAAGGTCGCAGTCCAAGAAGGAAGAAACTAAAAAAAAAAGAAAAAGTAATAAAAAAACACACACATGAATTGAGCAACAACAGAAAAAAACGAAACACAAACACGGATAACGAAAGGAAATAAAAGGAAAACAACACATAGAATATTATTACTTTTATCGTTGTTTGTGTTACAACAACAACAAACATTATCGCATTGACGCCGGCAATGTGAACGAACCGACCGCCGAACGAACACATTAGAATTTTAATAAGAAAAATATGTGATTATCTTGGCCAAGAGTAGAAGACGACGACGTCACCATAAACACACCTCACCACACTCTCCAACCACTGACTGCCATCGTCGTTTCTGAGAAAAACGTGCTGCGTATTGACTAGCCCGGCCTCATAGTCGTCTCCGCCGCCTCCGAAGTGTTGAGTGAAAGTTTTATTAACAATAAAGAGTAAGCTTTTGAAGTACGAAAATATACCACACAAAGAACAGAAAAACAAATCATGAGACAGCTCTTGGAGCTGGCAAACAATCAAAGCAAACTATCGATATTATCGATACAATATATGTTAAAACAATGTATGGGTTGATGAGTGCTTTTCTGTCGAGGTTATCGGACGAAATATGCAACAAAAGAAACAAAATACTAAAGAGTGATTTTTAAGAGCCACTGGGATTTTTTTTTAAATAAAATGAAAAAATCTTTTAGTTGAATTGATAGTATGGTCCCGATAACGTCACAGTGACGTTACGATTCGAAACATTATTGCAAAAGTGCCGTCCAGAGAATTCACCAGCAGGGCTGCCAACAAAACTTCAAGAAAAATCGTCAATTTTTCAGAAAAAAAATCGGCATTCGCATTTTTTTAAATCGGCAACGTATAAATTATTAAATTAATACATATTTAACAAAACAAAAGTGTTTACAAAGACATAGAAGTGTAAAGATAGGACAAGCCTGAGTCCAAATATGGTAACCCTGTGAAAATACCTCTGTTGTTATGATATCATAACAACATAGCTACCAATGTGCATTGATTTAAACCGCTAAGACAATATGCAAACTTTTAGAAAGGTCTCTGAAATAGAATTTTGAAACCAAAATTTCGGATTTTTCAAAATTGTATTTGTTATTCGTTTCCGTAATTGTTATTTTTACATTAACACGTATCAGCCATGAGCTGTTACTCTACGAATTATAGACACAAACCATTTGCTCAAAAAGCATTTTGTCTAGTCTTTACCATTTTAGGTCTTTGGTGTTTATTTCATGTAAAGAACATAAAGTAAAAAAAAGTACAACATATTCAGTTTTGTATAAAAATTAACATTGACATAAAGACATTAAAAATAGTTTTTTTTATAAAAAATTTAGATTCTTCCAAAACAAAAGTTATCAATTCTTTTATATTGTGTACACATTTTTAATGTGTAATTTTAGAGTGAAGTTTCCACTTCAGGAAATAACTTATTTTCATATAAACCTAAATATACTTAATTATATTATAAAAATATTTGTATCTACAGGGTGAGATAAAAAAAAAACTGGTTGATTATTGCAGGTTCTGGAACAGAACAATGTGTCCAATGTCTACCTTTAGAATTTTACAAATTATTCAGCTTACACTTTTATTCATCTAATCTACAGCTAAAACCCTCCTTCAGTTATCGATATTATGAAATTGTAATATCGAAACTATCTAAGAGAGAGCAAATCGATCGATAGTTTGCCAGCTCTATTGGATGTGGCGCAAATGGGGGCTGGTGGCTGTTGTTGTTGTAGTAGTATATCAACCCAATTGTTTAATAAGTACATACAGAAAAAATTATATCTCTTGCGAATGGTAGAATAATACGGGTAGATGCATCAGCAATTGTGAACTTTATTATAGCATGTTTCCATTGGAAACCGAACAACGTTGTTCGCTCTCAGAATTATGTACACGAATTAACCCGTTCATACGGCACGATTCGTAATTCATAGTAAAATAATTCCTTTTTTCAAAAATTTTGTTTGTTGATTTTAATGGGAATTTATACGAAAATACATGAAATTCTTACTTATATGAATAGAAGAAATGATTGTTTTTCTCCCAAATATTTATTATATCATTAATTTTATAATTTTCATTCACGTTTTCAACTTTTTGTGTAATTGTTGACATTTTGAACATATTTTTGTATTTTTCTATTTTTAAATTTTGCTGGAGATACACTTGTCAAACATTTTTTCTGCCGATACAAAGTTTTTGAAAATATTGCCTCTTTTTTTGCAGTTTTCTGTGGAAATTTCAACTTGTGGATAAAATGCGTACCTCGGATGAGAGAGAAAACAAAATGTACTTTCGTTTGAATGTACATACGCCATTCAACATTGTAGTTTTCATTCATAATTTTAAGTCTTCCCAAAAATTTTTAAAATTTCATTAAATTTTTCTATATTTAATTTTTGAATGTCATAATTTATTTTTTCGATAAATGCTCTCATTTGTTAGGGATGGGACATATTTTTTCGTTGTTCTGAGAGTGATTTGATTTGAACAACGTACAAATATGAGTGTTCGCTCAGGAAATTTTTGAAGAATTAGGTAGTTTTTTCATAGTTAAGGGTCAAACAACGAATAGAGAGCGAATCAAGTGCAGTGGAAACGCCACATTATCTTAAAAAATTTTATTTTTTTTTTTCAAAAATATTTTAGTTTTTAAATGTTTTGCTTACAGGTCTGCCTAATACACGGTGCGCACGTTTAGAAAAATACCAATCTGGCAATGGGTCTACGTTTACAATAGCCTCCAAATAACCGTACCTCCCAAGGTTCGTTATTTTACCACTGTATTAGCCACGATTTTCTACGGATTTCTCTAAAAATTGGTATTTGTAGTTCGTGTTAGGTTCTAGCTTCGGTGGCAGAACATTCTATACATAGGTCCACGTTTTCCTATAGCGCACATATATCATCGGATTTTCGGTATTTTGACGATTTAAGCAACATTTTCTAAAGGATGACGACACTGAATACTGAAGGCTGTGTCAGAACGAGGAAAAAACTGAGACGGTAGAGCACTTAGGCTGGAAATACATAAAGAGCATATTTGGCTGACTTAAGTCATCGGCTGGCTTCTTCATAGATGAACAAAGGAGTTTTAGGTTGACTCAGTTCGATTTTGGCCCTGGGCTTCTTTGTTCATTTCGGAAAAACCAGCCGATGACTTAAGCCAGCCAGATAAGCGCTTTATGTATTTCCAGCTTTACTCTGCCACTGCCCAACTCTTATAGGAGCGAGACAGAGGCTATTGGGTAAGAAAATTCTGCCAGATTTGTCCTCCCTCTCCGACATTGAGCCAGCAGTCATTCTTCAGTTAGCCAGAAGACTAAAATGGCTAAGGACGACACGCTGATACACCATGGATGCAAACCTACTAACTTCTCTACTCTTTATTCAGATTCTCGCTTCTTCACTATCCGTTATTCATTTCCTTCTTTTCTCCTTCTTCTATTCTCCTATCTTCTTAAATTAGGATGAACACAATGGACCAATAGGTCTCCGAGTGGAGTGATTGTTTATACAACCGCACATCCTTTAACCTAACCTATACCCTATGTCATTCCGTTTGTAACATCCCTAAATATTCGCCGTATATATATTCATGATCAGCATAAAATTCTAAGTCGATTTAGCTTTGTCCGACAGAACAATTCGTATTTGTGTCTAAGATGGTTGGTATTGAAAATGAGATATATCGGTCCACGTTTTTGATGATTTTAATTTTCGGCATTTTGATGATTTTAAAACATTTATCACCCTCTAAATTGTTTTTATTTTCTTAATAATGCCATACCATAGGAATACCATACGTTATTAAGAACAAGTTTCAAAAAAGTATTTTTTTTGTTTTTTTTTTAACAATTTTTTTTAGTAAAGTAATTAAAATTGGCCATCTTAAGCTATTTTTATCCAAGTTCTTAATTTTCCTACTGTACAACGAATTGCTTCGAGTTTTTCACCACAAAAGTTTGAACATATGTATGTATATATGTGAATGTTACCGATATATTTTTTTTTGTTTACAATTTCAAAATCTGTGGCCAGCTCTGTTGATATGGCATCTCCCTGTATTATTGCATCATGCTCTCGAGTGTGAGAGATACACATTTGGCGAGAGAGTAAAATAACATTGACATGTATAGCAAAATGAGAGTAGTTGGTAGGAGAGGAGAGTTTTTTTTTCTTTTGGAAACCTCAGGAATCACAGACAAAAAATAAACACTTGGCGTTTACAGGACAACAACAACAAAAGACAGTTTTTCACAGGCCCTCTACTCGCATGCACACATAACGTGCCGGCCAGCTAATAAACAATACACCCGTTCGTTCGTTCGTTTATCTTTAAATTCTGTCATCGTTGCCTTCGCCATTGCCGCCGTCGTCGTCTTCGTCTAGCAACCTCTGATATTTTTTGCTTTTGTGTGTTTTTTCTTATTTTTCTCCATTTTTCTTTTGCCGTCTGTTTCTATACGGTGCAAGTTTCTTTTCCCAAGCATAATTTATTAAAAACGTTTAGCGTGAATAGAAGAAGAAATAGAAGTAAATGCAAATCTTTGGAAGAAAAAGTAATCGAAAAGTGTTTTCTTTTTTTTTTGTAACAAAAAACGTCAACGTGTTCTAATGAATGAATTTTTCTCTATATCTATTTTTGCAGATTATTCAACATAAGCCAAAACGACGCGACGCGCGAAGATGGCCAAAATGGAAGTCGACGATGTCGTCGACTTGAGTTTAGGCACTGGGCGAGACCCTGCCCTGACTATTACACCGGCTACGGTTAGAGATTTGAGAGCTTTGACACAAAATTCGGGACTGACAATAACACCAGCGCCACCTCCACCCAGTTCACCGTCGGCCACAAGCAGTACACATGGCAATAGCACAAATCAATCGTCTGCTGCTGGCGCAGGAGGAGCTGGAGGAGTAATAGGGAGCGGTGGCGGTGGCGGTGGCAGTGGTTCCAGTACACCTACAACAAATAACATATCAACAACCATAACAAGTGTTGATCCCTCTACCACAAATAACAATACAACAAATAGCAACAACAACACATCATCATCAGCAACTCCAAATGCTACGTCAACAGCTGCCGCCGCAACACCCCAACCACCAGCCGAAGAAAACAAAGTACAGAGACGTGTCTTACGACCTCGCACCGAACCCAAATCCTATGCCGAGGCTCCCGATATTGTCCTCTTGCCAGCTCGCATGAACGGTGGCCGTCAACAGAATGGCAACATCGATTCGGAAACGGATGATGAAGAAATGCCACCATATGTGCCCATCAAAGAACTGACTCCCGCCGAATTAAAGGAACGAGAAAATGGTTTGCGTATTTTGCGCGACGATTTACGCAATGAAGAAACCAAATTGGTGTTGTTGAAGAAACTCAAACAATCACAGCATGTGATGAAGGAGAATATTGTTGTGACACCAACAAGTGTATCACCATCTAATCCATTGGCTGCCATTCCGACCGCCTTAACATCTAAGGGAGCATTGAGTGTGACACCAACGACCGCTGTACCATTACCCGCCCATGGTAAAAGTTCACGTTCCAATAACAGTAACAATATCTCATCATCGGTTACCATAAGGTAAGTGTGGAGGCAAATGTTCGCATTAACGCAATTTTATGGGAGAAGTTTCGGTGTCGTAGAACTTTTATCAACTAGTCTATAAATATTGTAATTATTGATAACTTCAAATTCTCTCTCAGATAAACCCATCCATTGTGGGGGCAAGACATCTGAATCTGAACTCATCCTTGGGTTCTCCTAGTCACAAAAAGGTTTTTAGAAGTTGTCTAGGGACGAAATTAAAAGTTTAATGGACAAAATACTACACATGATGGGGTGGAATGAAATGGGCTGATGAATTCGCCCGAAGTAGGTCCCAGTTTATTGTTTTTCCAATTGATGAGACTGTTTCGAATGGTTCTCATCGAAGAAACCAGCAGAAAATACAGTTGGAAAACGGTTGCAAAGAATTTAAGGCCTTTTCACCGGTAATCTGGTGGAAGAACTTTCCCTCTTCTATCAATTAGCAGGTGTAATCTAAGAATCGCGGTGACCGGTCACTGCAGTTCTCAGGGCAGTATTTTGGTAGGTCTGGAAGCATATTAGCGGACCAATCTGGGGCCGCATAGCGGACCACAGACACACATATCGCGTTATGAGGACCTTATTCCTACTTTTCATTTTGACGCAGGTAGTTGTTGTTTGCGGGGACGACTTAAACATATTTTCCTCTAATATCTTACATCCTCGGATCTAGCATGGCAGTTGGTGTTGACCCCCTAGTGGGAGCATCACGGTGGCTGTGGTTTAAACACAAATCGCGGGGGGAGTGTGTTACTCGAATGTGGAGTTGCATTACCAACCGGGTGCCAGATCCATAGAAGGGCAGGAGTTTAGATAGGCTCTGCTCCTAACCAAGGAGGCCACCGCGTCCAAATAATGTGCGAGCGAATTGGTACTCAATTTTGCGGGGGCGTTGGTAGACGCATTGTATTCACCCGACCACTATGAGATAGACCGCAAGGTAGGTGCTCACATAAAAAGCATACAGGTATTTTGAAGTAGTTCGGGGACGGTATTATATTCCCCTCGTGCACACGTGCACATTCAACTCTTTTGAATGGGGTAAATAGTGCGGCGGTTGATTTTGTGGCGAATATTTTCATATTCCTCGCATAGAAGTAGGTGACAAAAACCGCGAAATAGTAACCGATGCCTTGATCCTTCAATCATTCCCATACGTTACGATATCTATGTCGTCTGGAGGGCGAGGAATTCCGGAATGGTAGAAGTTATACTGTTCCGGAGATATCATCCCACCTTGGGAATTTTGAATTTTTGTTACGGAATTTCATGTCCGACTGGCGTCAGTACAAATAGTTGATATCTAACATTTCAAACTTGGCGGAGGCAAGTGCCAACCTTGCTTTCCCAAATACTACAACGGATTGGTATCCGGAGATTTTGGTGGCCATTTTGCGCTGGAAATGAAGCGAGAAACCTCATTTTGTAACCATTATTGAGTGGCACGTGCTGAGTGCGATGGAGCTGAATTTTGTTGGAATCTCCAAGGTCAGTGGCCAAAATGTTTGCGTGCTCAAGGCTTTAATACACCCTCCAGAATATTTTCGCGATAATATTCGGCATTTATTCTGATGCCACTGTCGATTTATACGAGCGGAAAGCGACCATCGGCTGTTATGGCGGCCCACACCATCACCATGGCCGGCGCTTGAGTCGGCCAACCGAAGGTGCACATTTTCAGCTGACCTCTTTGGCAAGTAATCACGATCATTTTGTTTGTTTACAAACTGCTGGACAACGAAGGTTTTCTCATCGGAGAGAGAGAAAATCAAATTCGGCAGTTCAACACATTCGCCCAGGCCAAGCGAAGCAACTCTTTAGCTCTTTTGAGTCTATTTTCTTTCTGTTGCGGTGTAAGTTCTGGCATTTTTTCGGAATTTCAATGGCTTTACCCTGAGCTCATTTTTCTATATTTGCCGAATGGAATATTGTGATAGGTTCAGCTCACGAGCCATTGCGACGCGGGTTTCAAAGGGATCAAGTCGCTTCTTTGCTTTTCGAACCATTTCTGCTGATGTTGCTGTTTTCTTCCGTCCACTTCCTTGACGTCGGGCTACGCGATCAGTATCACGGAAACGAGCGATGGTACGAGACACAAAAGATTTATTCACACTTAAATGCTCGAGGGCTCACACTATGACGTTTGAATTCCATCACGAATAACTTTTTTTCTGCAAAATTCTCACCAAAGAGCTTTTGTACGCTTGTAAACGATATAAAGAGCTGTCACTGGAATAATTTTAACAGCTGTGGGACGAGTGGCTTAGAAATGACAGCAGTCTGAAGTTGATTGCAGTTTTTTCATCACACCCTGTGTATCTCATAGAGTTCGGTAATACATTTGCCAAATTCTATCGAGAGCGGCTAAGATTTGGATATAGCTCCCATATATATCCTCAATCCGATTTCAGATTTTTTTTGCAAATAATAGCAAATGGAGTGAATTTCGGGACGTTCGCTTCCATTTTGTGGAACCCCATCTCCGATATAAATATTTTGTTTTTTGATATCATGCACCCTAGGGCAATGTTATTTGGTATGAAAGATTAAAATGGCACCGTCAAATTTAGTGGAAATCGATTCAGAATTGCTGCTCTACAGCCAAATGTTGATAGGTGGTATGATCTACTTCATACGAATTATTTTGCCATGGGGGCTCTACTAAATATGCATAGTGGTGTAGGCTATCATATAGTCGGCCCAGCACGACTTTTGACTTTTCCTCTACGGGTTCTTATTGACTTTGTCCGAAACTCTAACAAACAAAAAATGATTTTCGTATATAAAATAATTTAAAATCAAATCTCTTTACAGTGCAACCAACAGCCGTTCGAATCTTAATTCTACATCAGCGACATCTTCACCTCATCGTTCCAGTAGCAACATCAACAGCATTGTGGCCGGCAGCAACAACAGTAGCCACATTGGCAACAACTCCAGCAGCAATAACAACAATAGCAGCAGTAGTAATTCTATATTGCCACCGCCACGTTCATCATTGCCAGGCGGAGCAACTCTGACAGCTGGCGGTTCATCATCTTCCATTAGCATTCAAGCGGCTACATCATCGACACGTTCATCATCCTCCAGTGTACTACCGCCACGTACAAACTTACCGAATCTCACAATAACACCATCGGTGACTATAACGCCAACATCGGCTCCGCCGTCAGGACTTAAATCACGCAATGTGAGTTGTTGTAATGTGATCGTTGCAGTAAGCGCTGTGTTTCATTCCATTCCCATGCTAGGCCAGTAGTATTCCCAAGTATAGTTATATCAATCAATGTTGAATATTGACGACATGATGTCTTAAAATGTTGATTTTAAAATGTTTTTATACCCTCCACCATTGTATGGAGGGTATATTCAGTTTGACATCCCGTTTTTAACACCTTACGAAATATAAATTTTAGACCCCACAAAGTATATATACATATTCTAGATCAGCATAAAATTCTATGTCGATTTAGTCCGTCTGTCCGTCTATCCGTCTGTGGAAATCTCTCTAGCTTCCGAACGAAATGAAATAGATTGATACAATTTTACTCAAATGTATATTATGTCTACAGGACTTTTGGTATTGAAAATGGGCCATGTAGGTCCTCGTTTTGGTATAACCCCCATTAAACGGTACCTTCCGATATTCGGTTTTTTTAAGATTTTCGCAACATTATTCATCGGAATAGTTTCAAATTTGGTATTTGAAGTTTGAAATGGATACTACAGCCTAAGACAGAAAATTGTCTGTGCAGGTCCACGTCTTCGTATAACCCCCATGTTACAGTACCTGCCGATATTCGGTATTTTGATGATTTTAGTGATATTTTTCACCGGAATTGTTTCAAATTTGGTATTTGAATTTCGTAATGGATACTACAGCCTAAGACAGAAAATTATCTGTGCAGGTCCACCTCTTCGTATAGCCCCCATAGAACGGTACCTTCCGATATTTGGTTTTTTGAAGATTTTAGCGACATTATTCACCGGAATTGTTTCAAATTTGGTATTTGAAGTTCGTAATAGATGCTACAGCCTAAGACAGAAAATTGTATGTGCAGGTCCACGTCTTCGTATAGCCTCCATGTTACGGTACCTCCCGATATTCGGTATTTTGATGATTTTAGTTAAAGGATTTCTTTTTTTTTTGAGAATTGCCAAATTCATTTCAAATGGTGGAGGGAACTTACAGCTTTTTTTTTGCTTGTTTTCGTCAATACATTTACACCTATCCACAGACACATACACATCGCTTACTTACAACAGAAACACCTTTACAATATCATTATTTCATTTATTTACATTTTACAATATTTCAATATCCGTCTACAATGCTATTAGTTTGGGAACAGATATCTAAAATTAGGTTATTTTTTGGAATACCTTTCACCTACTCAATATCGACCTATACGAGGGCTATGAATCTTGAAATTATGTGTATCACGACATTATATTTCTCTGATTCATGCCTGGGGTTTGTAACCGTAAATGTGTGCGTGAAAGGTTTTCTCCTAAAAGTAATTGATACTAACTTTTATATTAACTCTTACGGCTTTATAGTCATATCATAATACCTTCAATTACCCGATTTCAAAACATTTAATATCCATTGAAAAAAAAAACGTAATTTAACTTTTCGATTTCATCCAATAACTAACCCCCCTCTTTCTTCATCCATTTGTTGTTGTTGTTGTGTCTGTTCTGGACATTATTGTTATTATTTTTTGTTCTCGTATTAAACTAACCAAAACATATTGAAAATGCAAACAATATAAGCAGCAGCCTAATATTTCGGATAATTCTAAGGTACCTAATACGATCAACAACTCGGTATCAATAACACCAGCACCACCGTTGGCATCCACACAAAATCAACAACACAACGATCTAAAGGTAAATTTCAAGTCCCCTCAAAGAAAAAAATGTAATCACCCTTTCCTTTCTTTTAGAATGATCGCTTGAATTCCCGCGAAGATGTACAAACTCCAGCTCAAAGGCAGGCTGCAGCCAAACTGGCACTACGTAAACAATTGGAGAAAACTTTACTACAGGTGAGTGGCGTTTTTATAGCCTCAGCCATATGGCTAGAGAGGGGAGGGTATATATCATTTGATAGGACCAAAACGTAACGAAATCGAAATAACGGTTTTAGACTCTAGGTCTCTTCTAGACCAAATACATAATCCGATTCAAGACATTTGGAGTCGATCTAGTGATGTCCTTTGGTTTGTCTGGCTGTTGTGCACGATAACTGTCGAAGGGAGTATCCGATTTGATCCAAACTTTGTACATCGTAATATTATTGTCAAACGTAGATCAAGTTTGGAGATTGGCCATATCGGTTCACTCCTTCTGGTACCTCCCCCACAAACGGCCAAAATGTTCAAAGAAAATAATTTACTGCACAGAAAGAGAAAGGATAAACCGATTTTGCTCCAACTTTGCAAATCTTAATACTTGCATCAGTGCTAGGTCAGGTGCGAAAAAGGTCCACTCCATCAAGTACCTCCCCCACAAAGGGTAAAAATGTTGAATATTTATAACTCGTATAAAATGTGATGTGAGAGTCCACTTGTCTTCAAATTGCACATATCAAAATATTTTTATTTTCCCAAGGTCTGGTGTGAAGATGGATTATATCGGTCCCCTTCTTCTGGTACCTCCCCCACAAAGCGTCAAAGCTTTGAATACCCATGAAGCTCAAAATACACAAAATTAACATCCGACACCATTCAGTTATAAAGATGGTATAGATCGGACCATTTCTTCTGGTACCTCCCCCACATAGGATCAAAGTTTTGAATAACCAAAACGATCATAAAATCCGAAATAAGCGTCTGGTTCTCTTCAAATTACACACATCACACTATTTTTATTAACCCAATGTCTAGTGTGGAGGTGGAATATATCAGTCACTCCCTTGGGTGCCTCTCCCAAAAAGGGTCAAAATTTTGAATATCCATGAAGCTCATAAAACACAAAATTAACATCCGATTCCATTCAGAATTGGTACATCTCAATATTTCCATCAACACAAGATCTGTTATAAAGATGGTACAGATCGGACCATTTCTTCTGGTACCTCCTCCACAAAGGATCAAAGTTTTGAATAACCAAAACGATCATAAAATCCGAAATAAGCATCCGGTACTCTTCAAATTACACACATTGCAATATTTTTATTAATCCAAGGTCTGGTGTGAAGATGCTGTATATCGGTTCACTACTTCTGGTACCTCCCCCACAAGGGATCAACATTTTGAAAATCCATGAAGCTCATAAAGCACGAAATTCCATTCCGATTCCATTCAGAATTGGTACATCTCAATATTTCCATCAACACACGATATGTTAAGATGGTACAGACCGGACCATTTCTTCTGTTACCTCCCCCACAAAGGGTCAAAGTTTTGAGTATCCATGAAGTTTATAAGACGCGAAATTAACATCGGATGCCATTCAGACTAGGTACATCTCAATATTTCCATGAACACAAGATTTGTTATGAAAATTCTACAGATCGGACCATTTCTTCTCGTGCCTCCCCTACATAGGGTTCAAGATTTTGAAAAACAAAACGCTCAAATAAATCATAATAAGCTTCCAACTCTCTTCAAATTTCACACATCCAAATAGTTTTGCTAACGCAAGATCTGTTGAGAAGATGGTATGCTGCCAAGCCCTTCTGGTACCTCATCCACCAAGGGTCACAATTTCCAATACTTATATCTGTCTTAACTTGCGAAACAAGTCGGCGATATAGGAAATATTTGATTTGGTCCAAATCTGGCACGTTGTAATAAATTTATTCGTCTTAGGTGAGATACGAGTCGGCCATAATGGACCCACCGTTTCGGAACCTCTCACATAAAGGATAAACAGTTTAAATAATCATAACTCAAGGATGGGGGTATACATCTGTCGGCGAAACAGACTGATACTATTTTGCTTGATACTGTCAATATTCTTCCTTGACAATTTCTAATTCGATTGTTGTTTTCTTTTTTATTTCCTGTAGATACCACCACCTAAGCCTCCACCACCAGAGATGCATTTCATACCGAATCCCAGCAATACAGAATTTGTATATCTCTTAGGTCTAGAGACTGTGGTCGATTATTTAACGACAAATAAGAAAGCAAATGCTGTGGTGCCACCCCTGCGTTGTGCTCAGTGTAAAATAGATTTTACTCCCGTATGGAAATGGGACAAACCAAGTGGTAAGCATTGCTCTGCTGAAGGATCACAACATTTTGTTCACAACAACAACTCATTCTGTACACATTCTTCCAGGTAACAAAGAACCCAAGGTCATATGTGAACAATGTGACACATCTAATGTTAAGAAGGCTTTGAAAGCTGAACACACCAATCGACTGAAACAGGCCTTTGTCAAGGCATTACAACAGGAACAAGAAATAGAACAACGTTTAGCCACACAAAGTAGTCCATCGCCGGTGGATGCGCATATAATGGCATCAATTTCAACGGCATCGCAGCAATCACAGGGTCAAACACAACAATCGGTGGCATCGGCGGCCCATCAATCACAACCCCAGATGGCCCATGCCGCTTCGACGGCAGCAGCTTTGGTTAATTTACCACCTTCGGTAACGGTTATACCCACCAAATGTCAAACACCAACGCCACGACCCACACCGCCGCCAGCAAATCAACCAACACCGCCTCCACCACCTCCAACGACACCTAGATCGTCGCGTGTCTCCATATCGCACTCATCGCAACCCAGTCCTAGTACTCCAACGCCTAGCCAAATGCATCACCATCACCACCAGCAACAACAACAGCAGCAACAACATCAGCAGCAGCAGCAACGTGAACGGGAACGTGAAAGAGAACGGGAACGAGAGCGTGAACGTGAACGAGAACGTGAAAGGGAACGTGAACGTGACCATCATCGTGCCGAACAACAGCAACAAAGAGCTGCCGCCGAACAGCAACAACAGCAGCAGCAGCAACAGCAACAACAATATGAAAAATACTCAGCAGCTGCCTTAGCTGCTGCTGCCCAATTAGGGGCACTTGGTTTGCCGGGTCTCAACAATTTAGCAGGTCTAGGTGGTCTGGGCAATTTGGGTAATCTAGGAAATCTTGGCCAATTGGGTAATTTGGCAGCGCTCGGTGGTTTAGCCAATTTGGGAGCAGCCGCAGCAGCAACGGCAACAAACCCAGCAGCGGCGGCAGCAGCTGCAGCAGCAAATTTAACAGCCCATGGCAATACAAATCCTGCCGCTGCTGCTGCAATGCAAGCTTTCCATCAGCAAATATTTCGAGGTAAGTCGGTAGAATCGATTTCTCTCTGCATTTTCAATTCAATATGACAGACTTACGCTTTTGAGCGGACGCGGTGAGAGGTAGAAAAAACCCCGATATCAACACCAGAATTTTCGTATAAGTTTAGTACTTGTTTGCAATCCGTTCAATTTATAAAATTATAAGTTGATAAAATTTTACTCAAATGTGTATTATGTCTGCAGGACTATTGGTATTGAAAATGGGCCATGTAGGTTTGATGATTTTAGCGACATTACTTACCGGAATTGTCTCAAATTTGGTATTTGAAGTTCGTAATGAATACTACAGCCTATGACAGAAAATTGGTTGTGTAGGTCCACGTCTTCGTATAGCCCCCATATAACGGTACCTCCCAATATTCGGTATTTTGATCATTTTAGCGACATTATTTACCGGAACTATTTCAAATTTAGTATTTCAAGTTTGTAATGAATACTACAGCCTATGGCAGAAAATTGTCTGTGCAGATCTACGTCTTCGATAGCCCCTATATAACGGTACCTCCCGAAATTCGGTATTTTGATAATTTTAGCGACATTATTTACCGGAATTGTTTCAAATTTGGTATTTGAAGTTCGTAATAGATACTACAGCATAAATAAGAGAATGGGCCATGTAGGTCCACGTCTTCGTATAGCCTCCATTTTACGGTACCTCCCGATATTCGGTATTTTGATGATTTTAGCGACATTATTTACCGGAACTATTTCAAATTTAGTATTTGAAGTTCGTAATGAATACTACAGCCTATGACAGAAAATTGTGTGTGCAGATCCACGTCTTCGTATAGCCCCTATATAACGGTGCCACCCGATATTCGGTATTTTAATGATTTTAGCGACATTACTTACCGGAATTGTCTCAAATTTGGTATTTGAAGTTCGTAATGGATACTATATCCTAAGACAGAAAATTGTCTGTGCAGGTCCACGGCTACATTCGGTATTTTTAAGATCTTACCAGAATTTTTAACGGATTTTATTTTTTTGTGAAAATTGCCAAGTTTTTACCAAATGGTGGAGGGTATTCTAACTTACATCTTTTTTGTCAAACTTAGATCGAGTTCGGAGATGGGTAATATCGGAATTTTTAATGGATTTTATTTTTTTGTGAAAATTGCCAATTTTTTTACCAAATGGTGGAGGGTATTCTAACTTACATCTTTTTTGTCAAACTTAGATCGAGTTCAGAGATGGGTAATATCGGTGAAATTATTCTGGTACCACCGCACAAAATGATAACATTTTCAAAGAAAATAATTTACTGCACAGAAAGAGAAAGGATAATCCGATTTTGCTCCAACTTTCCAAATCCTTATATTTGCATCAGTGCTAGGTCAGGTGCGAAAATGAACAATATTGGTACACTCCATCAAGTACCTCCCCCACAAAGGGTCAACATTTTGAATAATTATAACTCGTACAAAATGTGATGTAAGAGCCCGATTGTCTTCAAATTACACACTTCACGATACTTTTATTAACCCAAGGTCTGGTGTTAAGATAGGATATATCGGCCCACTCCTTCTCGTACCTCCCCCACAAAGGGTAAAAATTTTGAATATTTATGAAGCTCATAAGACGCGAAGCTAACATCCGATTCCGTCCAGTTTTAGTACATCTCAATATTTCCATAAACATAAGATCTCAATCTTTCCCTAAACACAAGATGGTAGAGATTAGACCATCCTATCTGGTATCTCTCACACAAGGGTCGTAGTTTGGAATAACCAGAACGTTCATAAAATCCGAAACAAGCAACCAGTTCTCTTCAAATTACACACTTCACAATATTTTACTAACCCAAGGTCTGGGGTAAATATGGAATATATCGGTCAACTCCTTCTGGTACCTCCCCCACAAAGGGTCAAAATTTTGAATAATCATGAAGCTCATAAAACACGAAATCAACATCCGATTCCATTAAGATTTGGTACATCTCAATATTTCTATTAACACAAGATTTGTTATAATGATGTTGGAGATCGGACCATACCTCCCACAAAAAGGATCAAAGTTTTGAATATACAGGACTAACTTCTCTACTCTTTATTCAGATTCTCTCTTCTTCACTATCCGTTATTCATCATTTCCTTCTCTTCTCTTTATTATATTCTCCAATCTTCTTCAAAATTAGGATGAACACAATGGACCAATAGGTCTCCGAGTGGAGTGCTTGTTTATACAACCGCGCGTCCTTTAACCTAACCTACTTAACTACAATTCTACTTTTTTCGCCCCTATCCTAGTTCTTTTGAGATTACAGCGAGTGTGTCTTAAAGAGAAAACAGCTCGTATTCCTTTAACCATTAGCTTAATTTAAAAATGCTATTGCTTTTGTACCTTAGAACTTAGCCAGGTTTCCTGAGTGGCGACGCTAGGAAACATATGATTTATTCATTAACTATTTTGTATTCATATTTAATATTTTCCTTATTTTTGCAACATCTCTTTGCAGCATTGGGTCAAGGTTTAGCAACAAATCCTCAGCATATGATGCAATTTACACCATTAGTATACTATCAAATGGCCATGGCTCAAGCGGCTCAAGTGGCTGGTAAGTGAAATTAATTTTTAATTTGCGAAATTCCATGTTTTGATTGATGCCTCTCTTCTTTTTCCAATCATTTTCTAGCATATACAAATAAAAACAAGTCTTCGTCTTCAACATCCTCCTCTGCATCAACATCTAAAGCTCAGACGCCATCATTGGCGGACATACAACGAGCTGCAGAATTGCAGCGACAATATTTATTAGATAGAAAACCACCGCCAGCACCAGGACCTAGCAATAGTCGTCAGAATAATTGGAAAACATAAGTTCAGCAATGGACTCAACAAAACACAGACACATACAGACAGCAATAGAAACCAGACATATTTAAAATAAAATAATCGGAAAGGAGGCGGCGCGCCAAAATGCATGCTACGTAACTATTTTTTGCTTGGCAAAATATTTGAAATAATACAAAAAAAAAAAAAAACAGAAACATTAAATTATAGGAAAACTGGAACAGTTCGAGCTATACCACAATATAAGAATGACAATTTTTCATGGATTTTTCTTGTATTGATTTCATTTAAAAAGAAAGAACAAATAGGAAAACCACCCCCCTCCCCCTTTGTTTGTTGGAGCAGAAAGAAAAACGAAAATCACAGCTAAGCTTGCTCGATTATTTTCGTTTTTTCGTAGGACAGAATTGCATGTTTCAAATGCATGTAAATCGTTTATCCATTATTATTATTATTACGTCTTTTTTTTAACAATAATAAAAAAACAAAATAAAAAAGAATTTTATTTATCATTGTGTATAGTATAAATAAAATAATTATTATCGTTTTAAAATTTTTATTTTCCATACTTAGATGATATATACTCTACACCACCATCACCACCACCATTGACAAATTATTAAGAATTTCTAGTTATTTTTTTTTCTCTTTAAATATAAATATGTAAAATAATGTACTTTTTCAAATCATTAGAGACCCCCTTTAATTAAATTTTAAAACTATTTGTATATTACTATATGATAATTATTGTGGCGAAAATATTAAGGTTATTTTTTCCTGTTTTGTAATGCCTTCCTTCTAATACAAAATATTGATTATTAAGCTGGGCCTCGAAAGAAAAATAAACAAATGAAATATTTCAATCATTCTTACATAGCATTGTAATAAACAAATAATATTCCCATATGAACGATTTGTGTGTGTTCGCTAAATCTGGCCTCGTAACAAGGTTAGGTTAGGTTGTGCAGTTGCCTTAAGAAGGTAACAGCTCCACTGTTGTACAGATTCCCCCAAGGACGAAGCATCTGTGTTTTGGGTTCTAATTTACGACGTAATTTAAAGCCTTGAAAATTGTTGTTGGCGGTAAAAGCAACAACAAAACACAGCAAAGACACGACGCCACAAGTATACGAAATATACTTACGCGATGTTCACTTAAATAACACAAAACAAGTATATTAAGTTCGGCCGGACCGAACTTTTAATACCCTCCACCCTAGGGTAATGGAAACACTAGAACCAATTATGATCCACAAATACCCATTTTTAGACATATTCGTGGGAAAATGTGGCAAAAACCATTAAAATACCGAATATCGGGAGGTACCGCTATATAGGGCTATACAAAAGCGTGGATCTATACATACAATATTTCGCCAACGGAGCTAGAACTCATTATGACCAACAAATTTAAATTTTTAGACAAATCCGCGATAAAATGTAACAGAAACCATGAAAATATCGACTATCGGAAGATACCGTTATATGGAGGCTATACCAAAGCGTGGACCTATACATACAATGCTTCGGCGCATGAACTAGGACCCATTATGACCTACAAATACCAACTTTCAGACAAATCCGTGAAAAAGTGTGGCAAAAATCATCAAAATACCGAATATCGGGATGTACCCTTATATTTGGGACTATACCAAAACGTGGATCGATAAATCTAATTTTCAATACCAACCATCCTAGACACAATATAAATTATTCTGTTAAGTTTTGATGCTCTACGTCAAATAATGTGAACTGTATCGTGATTTCAACAGACAGACAGACAGACGGACATCGTTAAATCGACTTAGAATTTTATGCTGATTATGAATATAATCTACGACGAATATATAGGGATGTTACAAACGGAATGACAAAGTTAATATACCCTCCTTTCCAAGGTGTAGGGTATAAAAACACTTTATTTTAAATAAAAGAAATATTGTCCGTCGACAAGTTTATTGGTTTGGTCGGTTAACAATTGGTGGTTGATCCTTTTCCAGCAACTAACTCTTGAGAGATGACACCTCTTCAATAAATTCCTGTTTAGAGGTCAATGTCGATCAAGTTCTCTGCGATGTCTTCTGTCTCCATTGGCGTGGATCGAAGAGGGAGGGGTCTCTTTGTGGTTGTGAAAAGGGGTTTGCTTTGGACCTTGACATGCGCCGCCCCCTTTGCAAGTGTCTAACATTGACCACAGAAGCTAGAACTTTCATTGGCACTGAGATTTCATATAAAATCGTTTTTGTTGTCTCGTTTCTGACAATTCCTTAGGCTCTGCTTTTGGTCTTTTAATCCTCGATGTCCTTTGAGGTGGCAATGACGTTTGACCTCTTGGCTTGTGTGGTATGTGTTCCGATTGCCTTTGCCCTCTCAACTGTTGATGCTTTTGCACCTGTGGAGTTTTGTTGCGGCCATGTTGCTGGTTATTGTTGTTGACTCTGCCTCGCGTTAGATTCGTGTTTAATGTACTCTTAGCAATGGAGAGGTACTTAGGTTGATTTGGTCTCTTATGTTGGGTATTAGAGATTCGCGGTTGCTCTAGGTATGGTGCCTTTCCCTGGACACCCGGCAATTTCCGGGAGCATTACAAAAACGTACAAAATGATCGCGGGACAGGCAATTCTCTGTCCTTCTGTGTCATCTTCTTAAACATACTACACTGCTTGAGTGGGTGATGTTTGTAACAGACGAGGCATTGTTCCCTGGGACCGTTCATTTTCTGGAATAATTGCGAATTTGACCATATGTTATATGGTCCGTTAATAAAGTTGATTCTTCTTTCCCACAAAACATATACCACACACTGTTCTACTGTATAACGCATAGTTTAGATATTGGCCTCGTTATTATGCCGTCGCATGTTTTTATGTCCGCAATCCTCACATGATCACCGTCACCGATATAGGTCGTAACTATGCGTCCCATTTTCCAGTCATTGGATGGTAGAGTATCATCTTTAATGAGTACAAAGTTGTTTTTTCTATGTCCCTTTCGGGATGTTGCCATTTGTACCGCTTGGGCATTTCTTGGAGATGTTCACCTGTCCATCTTTTACTGGAGTCATGATGCATGTATTGATATCTGATTTATTATCTAACGACAATTCAGGCGCGAATAATAGCGGTCCTCCTCACAGAAAATGAGCCGGAGTTAGGGCTTCTAATTCTTCTGGGTCTTCGGATAGCGGAGATATTGGTCTTGAATTTAATACACTTTCTATACGTACAAGAATTGTAGTAAATTCTTCAAAGCTATACTTTTGTCGTCCGATGAGCACCACCTATATGTGGAGCGCCTGGCGGAATGAATTTCTATTCAAAACCTCTTATTGCACATTTATTTGAGATTTCTTTGGCTGATATTTTTACAAAAATGTCGAATTCTCTCAATAAATCTCGGCTCACACCAACGAAATAAGTGCCGTTATCGGACATAACAACTTTTGGTAAACCTCTTCTCCCAATAAACCTTGCGAAGGTTGCCAAGAAAGCATCTGATGTTAAACTAGTGTGGGATTCCAGGCGAATTGCCTTCGTCGAAAAATAAACTAATATCATAAATATCACGATTTTTTCTGGAATGGGCCTGCAAAGGCTACGCCTGTATACGTGAATGGTGAAGTTAGCATGGAACGTTTTAATGGCACTGCTGCCATTAGTTGTGATTTTACGTTCTGTTTATGCCTCACGCATATCACAGTCCGTCTAAGTCAAGAAATATAAAATTGACTACGAATGGTTGTCGTCATAAGTTTTGTCCCGCCGTCTATTAACAGTTTACAGGGTGAGATAAAAAAACTGCAATAAAGTCAGACGCCATAATTTTTAAATTTTATTGAATGAAAGCAAAAAATATCGGAAATAGCATCAAATTTTAGAATAATGGTTGTCATCATATGTTTTGTCCCGCCGTGTATTAACACTTTACAGGGTCAGATAAAAAAAACTGCAATAAAGTCAGACGCCATAATTTTTAAATTTTATTGAATGAAAGCAAAAAATATCGGAAATAGCATCAAATTTTAGAATAAGTTTGGATATGGCCTACAAATGGCCCGTGAAACCGTCACACACTGCTCGAATGTTGCTCTGCGGTATGTTGGCCCATTTCCGGCCAAGCGCTTGCTTGAGGTGATCGACATGACCGGCGCTTGAGTTCTGGTGGCCAACCGAAGGTGCACATTTTCAGCTGACCTCTTTGGCAAGTAACCACGATAATTTTGTTTGTTTACAAACTGCTAGACAACAAATGTTTTCTCATCGGAGAAAAACAAAATCGGCAGTTCACCACTTTCGGCCAGGCCAAGCGAAGCAACTCTTTAGATCTTTTGAGTCTATTTTCTTTCTGTTGTGGTGTAAGTTTTTGCACTTTTTGCAATTTCAATGGCTTTACCCCGAGGTTATTTTTTTTTTAACATTTGCCGAATGGAATATTGCGATATGTACAGTTCACGAGCCATTTTTCGGCCACTGCGACGCGGGTTTCGATCAAATTGCTTCTTTACTTTTCGAACCATTTCTTCTGATGTTGCTGTTTTCTTCCGTCCACTTCCTTGACGTCGGGCTACACTACCAGTATCACGTAATCGGTAACGAGCGATAGTACGAGACACAATAGATTTATTCACATTTAAATGCTGGAGTGCTCCAACGATAGCCACTTGTGGTTTTCCAGCCAAATATAAAGAAATTACACTATCGCGCTTAAATTCCATCACGAATAATTTTTTTTTTGTAGGAAAAATTCTCGCCAAAATGCTTTTGTCCGCTTGTAAACAATATAATGAGCTGTCACTGGAATATTTTTAACAGCTGTCGAACGAGTGGCTTAGAAATGACAGCAGTCTGAAGTTGGTTGCTGTTTTTTCATCTCACCCTGTATGTCAAAATAACAAGTTTTTTTTTTCAAAACTGAAAATAGAGAACAACGCAGAATTCCAATCGTTAACTTCTGAACCAAATTGTACCATTTTTTCCCCCTGGACATTTTCTGACATATTCGGCCCTATTACGGTTGTCGTCGTCGTCGCAAAATGAAGTCGAGGCGACAATAACGGAATTAGGGTTGTCGTTTTTTGTCGATAGCGATTAATGATTGCTATTTTCATTGCCGATACAACAGTCGACTTGAAGTCGTTTCTAGAGAATATCTGCCGCCGTAAAAAATTGTGAAGACATTGTATTTTGTAATCGACGTTGATATTTTAACCATTTTGTATTTGACATTTGACCATGAAAATAGCAACAGCAAAATATTTTGGAAATATTCAAGTCATTTCCGACTCTGGTTCGATTTTTTCAAAATTCTTTACAGAGATAGGTATTTTGATTCCGTGAAACTATTAATATAATTCAACAGATTTTCGACTCAAAAGTCCGAGCTTGACGGGATCTACTAATGCGATATAGGTTATACCTATATTGCTTATGAAAATACCTATCCACATTGTGTGGCCGAAGGCCGGCTTCTTACAACTGTTACATTTAGAAAACTTTAGTTCGCGTAGCGTAGTTGAACATACCCACAAAAGAATATCTCTGGACCCAGAAAAGGTATTAACACAAATTGTAGCTTTTTGGAAACGTAAGAGTGACATCTATAATTTGGCATCAATCCATAATTTGACTATAACATCCGAACCTTTTTAAATAACCCCCTTCATAATATATTGGATAAGTGGATCCGGGTCTTGGACCCGGACTATCGAGTCAAAAACGCCTACGACTGGAAAAAAATTAAAAAAAAAATTGAAGAGTTTTTACTAAAGTGGAGTTAAGCCGGCTAATTTAATTTCAGCTCTAAAAGCCAATGACCCGCGGCCACTTTCCAACTCCATAGTATAGCTTCCGAACGAAATGAAGTAGGTTGATAAAATTTTACTCAAATGTGTATTATGTCTGCAGGATTTTT